TGCTCCTCCTCCTACTCCTACTCCTGCTCCTGCTCCTACTCCTACTCCTACTCCTACTCCTACTCCTACTCCTACTCCTACTCCTACTACTACTACTGCTACTACTATAAAATGAATAGCAATAACAAAATGGTTCACACAACTGCGTCGACGAGGACGACGACCAGCAATAAATTCTGCTACTGCCACTTCTGCTGCTACGACGGCGACGACTACCGTTACCACTACCACCACCACAACCACTAATACTGCTACCACCACACCACTAAGTACCAGCATTTCATAGAGCGCAAGCCGCACCAGCAATATCGCTGTAGCAATTCAGTCGCAGGGCAACTGCAGTAAGCACCACATGGATAACTGTACTAGTAACAGCAGCAAGAACTGTAAGACGTGCAATTGTATAAAGGAGTTGTGATTAATTTAAGTAGAATTCTATTCGGATCATTTCGGGTAAGAGTTTTGGGTATGCGTTCTAGGACTTGGTGGATACAGTCTCAGTTCTTAGCACAATTCCAAATCTAAGATAATGGGCTTGAGGTCCTAGGCCCTGCACCAATGCCCTGGACATACTCATATTTTCATGAGACAGTGACATGATAGGAGATCATCTAACATAACATAGTATATTGCAGAATATGAACAACTTCGATCATGAGCTAGCACAGTTGCCATCAGCCTCCGGCCTCCCATCACCAAGGACACGAAATTGGCGACGATGATGCCTGCAGGTCGGTCCAAGTTAGACGCTTCTTCGGGTCCGGACGGAAACCCTAATGCAAGTTCACAGGAGCTTACGGCTTTTACGGGCTAAGTTGAAGTGTGGACCGAGACAAGCTTGCTTACCAGCCCGGTTGCGCGCTCGGCAGTAGTGGGTCGAACAAGGAAAAGAGAGTGCAGAAACGCGACCCCTGCTGCCGTGCACTTCTCGTCAATCCGATATAGTTTAATATATCCCAAACAAAGCCCATTCTTATTATTAAGGCCCCTATATTCGGGGTTTAAGGGCCATGCTGAGATTTGGGGGCATGCCTCTATGTGAAAGACGCTGGCCCGGGGAGTCCCAGAATTCCCAACCCCGCCCAAGGGATGCGCAGTAGGTATACTAGAAGACTATCTTAACAAAAAGTAAGTATTTTATGGGACTGTAAGGGGATAACCTGAGAGGGGCTTTAGTAACTTTAGTAAGTTCGGCGATTGAGGGATTGGAAGAATCACTCACCCCTCCAACCTGCTAAAAACTAAACGGTCTAGACTCAAGCTTGGACCCGGCATGGAGTAGTTCTCATGCAAGAGGGTTTGGGCTGGAAGCTGCCGGGCTAAAGCCACGAAGCTCCACAATCGGTTTAGGGTTTAGGGTTTAGGGATGTTTAGGGTTTAGAGTGTAGGGATGAGTAGGGTCTATAGGATGTTTAGGGTTTAGGCTTAAGGGGCTTCGGAATCGCACGGCCGAGTGGTTCTTGCTGAAGAAGCTCTGCAGGCTTCATGCCCTTCACCCCTATGCCTCCTTCCCTTCTACTTGGAGGCCCTTTTGACTTA